TTTACGGTACCACTTCACGCGAGTTATGCTGTTGGATACATTAACTTGCGTGTTGAGTAAGGGTAACCGACCCATGAGTAATGAGGAAAATTGCACATAAACACAATTCCCGCCCTGCTTCAATTGCCGCCCCTTGAAATTGAAAGTCCTAATATGTACTTTCACCTCCTGTGACCTCATCGGCAAATACGGTGATATATATCACGCAAATACAGTACGAACGATAAAATCTGTAGTCTCTGTTGGAGGTCTCGTGCTCCTTAGATTACAAGAAACACTCCCAGCAAGCCTATACGCTTCAAATACCTACACCTCCTAACAGCGTTCAAATGAAACCAATTCGGTGAGATTCCTTGAGCAAACCTTCGCCTGAGGGAAAACTGCAATAAGGGCATTCTTGTATATCACTCGAGCGAGAAGGGGACAGCATCGTGAGGCTCAATATCCAAGTACTTTTGTCCGAATGCGCCACGTGTTAGAGTTTCAATCGGAATCCCGAGAGCATTTGAATGCTTGTTTACATAAATTACGACAAGAGGATCAGTACTGGTGACTTACAAGGGAGGTCTTTCAGGTCGTGGCGCGCTTTTTAATGGTTTGTTGCTTGTTGTAGGGGTCCATACAAGGATCACAAAAATGGGTTTCATTTTTGCTATGCGTTTCTGGGGAGGTCAAAAACTGAGTGAAAAGAATTTGACAAGAATGGGCGATTTTAACTATCTTAATGGGCTCCGTTCTGATTGTAACTTCGAGCATGCATAGTTTATGAGGTGCTCGTTAATTAGGCTTTGAAAATAGTTTCAAATAAAGTATCGTATCGTCGTCCCATCCAGAATCCATCGAGTTATCCGCTGCGCCATCCGATCCGCCGACAGTGAGCATGAGGGGACCGCTGACAAAAACATCACTGTTGCGTCGGTGCATGCCAAGTGTGTTACTACATGATACTGTCATTCATCATTGCGTTGCTACGATATACCTACATTTTGCTTCATTGAAAACCATTTTCGAAGCCTAATAACGACAGCCCACATAAACTATGCATGCTCGGAGTTACAATCAGAACTGAGCCCATTAAGATAGCTAAAATCGCCCATTCTTGTCAAATTTTTTTCACTCAATTTTTGACCTCCCCAGAAACGCATAGCAAAAATGAAACATTTTAAGATCCTTTGTATGGACCCTACAACAAACAAGGAACTTCGTACAGGAAACAGCGCGGCGCCAAGAATCGTATAAATTTGATATTGTAGAATTGTAGGAAGTCAAATCTCGTTGAGCGCTCTCGAAGAGATGACGATCGCATAGCGGATCCTTCGAGAAAACAAGCACCGTTCCAAAGAGCAGCGTCACCAGATGCTGGCGATATCATTGACCAGGGAGGGATAATAGGTCGAAAGTGGTTTGATTAAAACAAAGAAACGAAAAAATGGAATCCCTCGAGCTTCTAGAGCCTGTAAAAAACGAAAAAATTGACGACTCTGGAAAGGATAGATCTTCCGCTATCACCTCATAGGCCTGTCTTCGCCAGACGGACTACCAGCTATCCTACCTTCTAGCCCACATTCTTGAGACGTATCTCACAGATCATGGAATGAGGATATGCGCCAGAGATGTTGTGGCAAAGGGTGTTTCGCGTTGGGTGAATTATTTGGATATATTGGAAAATTAGACAAAATAAACAATCTAAAGTCAGAACGTTTCAGACAGCCTGAATGAACTAATTCATTTTGATGAGTTGGGTTTTTCAGATTCTGAGGTGCGGGGTCCATGCGAGATTCACTCTCAGTGTCAATTATGTCTCCAGCAATACTTTGTAAATTCTTTCGGGAGAGCAGGGCTGGGGACCGCAAATTGAGGCTGACCCATGACACTGTCAGAGACCTCATCCGGACCTATATCTTCGAGATGGGAGGGACGTACCTTTATTTGAGCAAGAGCCGTAGGATGTATTTTTTATGGGATGTATCCATTTGTGACAACTGCCATCCTATTTTGTGCTAAACAACGACATGATTACAATCGTTCCAAAATGGCGATATCAGACGAGAAGTTCAGCCTCCGTTCGTTCTAACGGTGTACCTGTCCCTGGGATATATGATATACCATTTTCTCTGTGTAAGTGACAACTTATCATTGGCTGTGGGACCACAGGGACAAAGAAGTGCAAGGGTGACACATAACCGTATTCCGATAAGAAAAAAGGCACCAAAGAGCTGTGACAGGTAGCAGTTGCTCCGAATTCAGCAGTTCAGGTGACCGTGTCCAAGGTCCGTCGCTTCATAGGTCGCAACAGAAACAGAAAGACGCTCAAAACAGGAAGAGTTGATTAGAATTAGGTCGACCGTTCCTTTCTTGAGCAAATCGGAAGCTCATCTTGCTCAAACTATCATTTCGTATTCTACAAAAGTTTTTCTCTCCTTCAGCCAACCCCAAAAAAAGCTTTACTCCTTGAAAACAAGTCAGGAACGATCAGCACTTTCGCATCTCTGTTAGGGCATTTGTCAGTAGTTTTCTATGCAGCTCTCCAAAGGGTTAGAGAATTCCATCCTACTGGACTAACCTTGCAACTCCCCTAATGCTTCCAATTAATTCTCTGGCCTCGTCAGAGCATTTCCATTGTACAGCGTCATTTGCTTTAGATTTTCTAGAGTATCAGGGAACAACTGTCCCAATGCTGTCCATCAAAAGCTGATCTGCAGCTCTCTTTATCGGTGAAAACAGGATCCATAGAACGGTAATCCCGATGAGGGTCATACGTCCAGAAGACGATGAAATATCGCTGATGGTCATACGATGACTGGAAAGCACGTTCAGCTACGTACTTTGCTCTCTTCTGCAAATGCCATCTCTCGTCTCTCGTCGAAGCATGCGTGATTCTTCGCAAAGGATTACGGTATCGACGCTATACGGACCCTCCCACTTGGGGCACTATAAATGTGCACGATTCAACGATCGAGCAGACATTTCCAATCGGCTTCAACTTCGGATCAGATCTTCTGCTGCACCTCCTCAGTTGCTTCTGACGGTCACAGTAGGGTGATACAATAGCTCCTCCCAAGGAATGCGTTACGCCTTGGACATTCCTGTCGAACTCCTGGTCTCTGAATGAGGTGCTGCCTCGATCCATTTTAGTTTCTGTCCCTGTCTTGCGAACCTCGTGAGCGAATTTCGTCTAGGCTGAATAAGGCCAGTTAGCGGATGTTTCGTGGTAGAGGCTATGGCCATATACCTGATGACCGAGAGATCGCACGGATAGAAGGTCAAGTGCGCCTGCAGGCTTGTCAGTTTCGGCTTGAACAGCGGCCTCGTGTAAAAGGGGGTTCTATTAGTACCTTTTTAGGCAGATGTCCCCTTGCTCACCTGTTGAAACTGCCGTGCTCTTTTCCTTTTTCCCCTTCTTTGCTCTTTATGCTGCACTGTATTATTCTGGAGAGGTTCAGTTTGTTTCTTGATGCCTTTGTCTGGCAGGATTTCATGGCTAGACGCTAATAACCTTGAGGTGGAATCATGAAATTGACTCCTTGTGCAGATATGGGATTCGGAAAATGGTTCACCGCCCCACAATTCCCTTCTTCCTTTAGGCTTAGCCCAAAGTCTTCGTTTATCTCGTCTAATTTTGCCCAATGAGCCTTTGAATGCCCACGTTCAACGGGTTACTGGCCATGACTGATTTTCTTTTTCTAGCAACCCAACCAAAAATTAGAACTTGTGAATTCGCACCTTATTCGCAGTTTTGCAGGAATGCGGCTGCTCATTCTTGCTCTCGCAGGCTTCGTCGCCTACGCCACTGCGTAAGTTTGCTTTGTGTACTTTTACCTTTTGGCTCTTCCACTTTCCCAGATCCAAAGGAAATCTTTGGAAGTATTGCTGCATGTAACTTATCCTTGAGGTATCAACTTCTTGGGAACAAAAGGCGGTTTTTTCCAGCATGTCTCCAGAAGACGTGAAGAAGAATGCCTTGGCTGCATTGGAGATTGTCCCGCTGGGAACAACCCCCGAGAAGGTTCAGAACGGCAAGGACTTCTATAAATAGTGAGTACTGGAAACGGAGCTCCCAACTTGTCCACTGAAAATTTTGAGACTCACAGTCCATGTTTTAGTTTCTTTACCAACCACCAGGAAAATCGCAAATACTTCAAAGGTGCTGAAAGCTTCACCGCCGACGACGTTCAGAAGAGCGATAGGTGAGCTTTCAATACTCGATAATGTCAGCGTTGTATTTAAGGAACTTTAATTACTCGAGTATTGCAGATTCACGAAACTTGGCACTGGTCTACTGATGTCCGTGCACATTCTTGCCAACACCTACGACAATGTAAGACTTCACGTTTTCCACCAGCCGCTGCTTCAGATCAGTATATGAACACATTTCTTCAGGAGATGGTCTTCCGCGCCTTCGTTCGTGACCTCATGGACCGACACAAGGACCGAGGAGTTGACCCCAAACTGTGGAAGGTTTGTTTTGTGCCGTTGAGCTACGGTGTAAGCTTGTCACTAGGTGTAACTAATTTGTTCAGGGATTCTGGGGAATCTACGAGGCCTTCCTGGAGAGCAAGGGAAAGGCGCTGTCTGCTGACCAGAAGGCTGCCATCGATGCTATTGGCACAAGATTCAACGAAGAAGCTCAGAAGCAACTCGCTGTCCTCGGACTGCCTCACACGTAAACGGACAACCACCTGATACAAATATTTATCAAATTTTAAATTGTCTAGACAGAAGATGGTGTTTCATAACATGGACCGTCAATAAACGTCTAACACTATGAGTTGTATGAATGGTTCTTACAAGCACTTCACTTTTACTTCCACGTAAAATGAGAAAAGGTAGAGGCGCACTTTGGCCTAAGGGGAGGGTGAGGATTTTTTCTTTGGCCGCTTCCTATTGCCGTGTCGAGTCATCATGTAGAGGTTTGTGAAATCTTGTTTTGCCCTGAAGAGATACCAGCCAAAGTTTGTCAAAACTCCTTGCCATCTTTTGTAAGGACTGGTAACTGACAAACAGTCAATAGGACAACGAGAAGTGGAAATGCAGCGAATGCCCCTCGCCGAGCCGAAATTCGTAGGATGGTACATTAGGGGTAATAATTACAATATTTCGAAGCGATTTTGAAAACCCTCAATATTCCATGATGACCTTCCTCCATTAATCTCGGCACGACGACAGCAATATTCAAAAATGTTTCTTTAGGGAGATCTTACAAATTCTTTACTCGACCAACATTTCAGCAGTATTGCCTGCCGCTCTTTATCGACGGGGGGGGGACATTGTTCCGGTTTGCAAATCTTACTTTGGTAGAACTTGCGAACACTTGTAAAGCTGGAGCAGGATCGTCTAGCCACCATCGCGTCAACTCGAGAGCTACCTAGGCGGGTCGACACATATCTATGGAAAGCAGAATGCCCCCCCCCCCGTCGATAAACTGCGCCGTATTGCCTTCTTCAGAGCCTTCTTGAAAAGAAGTCAATGCTGCCGAAAATTTAGTCGAATAAAGGATTTGTAACAGTCTCGGATCGCTAAAGAAACCCTCAGTATTGCTTCTCAGAGCAAAATTCTTAGGTGAGTACCGGTGTTCGACTGAAATAATATAATACTTACAAGTCCCTGGTGAAGCACTCTGAATTCTCCTAGATAAGTCCACTCAAAAGCGAGGTCGTTTTTAGGAGTAGCGGCCATAAAAGGAAGCACCATAGGTTGAAAGGTCGGAGAAGTGATGATGACCTGGAGGCTAGAACTTGAAGCGAGTAACAGCGAGAGAATTAGCTTCTGTTCTCTGAATTTCGGAGACTAGACTAGAAAGAAGTAATTCGGACTGATTCTATCGCAGAGTTACCTGTTAGTCAAAGGGGGAAAGGTTAAAAAACAGTCAAGTAAAAAATGGGATCAGCCACTAAACACCGCGAAACAAAGGAGGCATTCATACGTAGTGGCAATTCAGACGAAGAGACCCAGAAATCAGGGATAGAAGCCTCCTGTTGAAAACTCGATCCTCCGACAGAATCAGTCCAGATTTTTGTTTTCCAGCCTTACTGCGGAGTCCTTCTTTTAGCTGCAAGTCTTCAGTCAGGCACCCCATACTGCTCCTTTTATGGTCACATCTCTAGACTCTGTCTGTATCATTGTTCGGAAAATACTTGATTTACGGTGTAGGCGTCTTACTTACTGTTATGAGTCGTGATAACCTTGTCGCTCGGACTCATCCAATTACAGACTCCACGGGAGCTTAGGCTAATGAAAATGAAAGCTTCTCTTCAGCATGCAGAATCGTTGTCATTTCGGCTCCACAGGAAGTCCAGTTTACCTGATACGTTGCTCTGTCGGAGGTTAGGTTGGCCTGGGTTATAGCCAGTCCGGATATTGAACTTCTGGAGCGAGTGACCATTGCAGTGTGCCCCCCCCCATACAGTATTATAAGCCGCACAAAAAGTTCGTGCCCAGTGCTCCAATATGGATTTTGCAATGAGATTGGATGGTTTGATTGCGCATATTCAAGGAAATTTTGGCATTAAGACTGCTTAAACTTTCCTCAAGATTGAGCTGTCTCGGGAACAATATAGCTTGCTAATATGCATAAGCAGGGAGTATGGGAAAACACTTCTGAAGCGGCGCAGAATTCAAACCAGGCTTGGACGAAGATGCACCTGCAGAAAAGGTTGGCCTGGGACGGCTCTCAGAATTAGAACCTAGTGAAAGAGCAGTCGCGCTCGGTTGGCGCATTCACTTCTCGCCAACTGTGATTGGAGTGCGATGGGTGTTCAATGTATTCTCGGTATACGGTATGAAGGAAGAAGACAGGAAAATCTGAATAAAATGTTCTTTTCAAGTAGTACCCTATAACCTTAATACACTTCTTTGTTAGGGGAACTAACTTTTCAACGATATTATTCCTCCTTGTCTCCAAAAAGTGCGTTTTGCCGCCTTCAGCAGTTCATCGTCAGAAAAACGCCTTCCATGAAGATATTTTTTTTAGGTTGGCGAGCAAGACGTCACTATATTTTCTCAAATTTCTTTTCATTTTTCTCAAATTCTTCAATCAGCAATAATTTTCTCAACATTACCGCATCAGTCACTCTACTCTCACCAAGGGCAACCAAAGAGCATTGATGATAACTAAATAAAACATTTGTATCAATACCTCAGGGAGTGTCGTTACCTATTAAAATGATTTGAATTACTTTGTCACTGCTAAATTACCCCGATATCGACAGTACTTAGAACGACCCTCGTAGCAATCGGATCTAATATCAAGGCAAGTTCATGTCATAGCAATCTACAGTAGCGGAAAAACTTGAACAGGCTGAAGTCGAGCGCTATTCAATAGTTTTGCATGCAATTTGCAAAAAGCACATTTAACTTCGTTTGCTCAAATCAAGTAGCGTTAAAATGCTATTCTAAAAAATAAAGTTGGTTGATTAAATTCGTTACCGGGACAGAATTTTGAAGATTATTGCGATGCGGCATGCCGCTGCCACTCTGATATTGGACCGGTTTTCAAAGTTTCTAATGCTTTGGGAACAACATAGGTTTTCGAGAGTTGTAAAAAAGAAATGGAAGAAGGGAGCGAACACTCAGACAGGTGTCATCTTTATCCGATGGACTGCAAGGCATAAGAAACTTTGAGAAGCCGGTCCAAAATCAGAGGGGCAGCGGCATGCCGCATCGCAATAACTTTAAAAATTCTGTCCCGGTAACGAATCTAATCAACAAAGTTTATTTTTTGGAATAGCATTTTAAGGCGTACTTGACTTTGAGCAAACAAAGTTTTCATGTGAAATTTAAAAATTGTATGTAAAACTATTAGAAAGTGCGTGACTTGGGCTTGTTCCATGTTTTTTTCCACGTTTGTTAGGAGTACGTTGTACAGCAAAATGATTGCAGTAACGTAAACAACATGGCGTTATCAATTCCAATAGATTTCATTGAAATATATGGGGAAAGTGAAACGGAAAAAATTTTCAAGAATCAACAGCCGGGAAGATCTCATCAAGCGGGCACGGCAACGCATCCTGCCATCTAATGGTGCAAAGTTTGGAAAAAAAATGCTATCAAGACTGCAGTTACACTTATAAGTACATATCGCAAAGCGGCGGTGCTAGGTTACCACATACGTGATCTCCTCATAGCTCGCACAACGATTGCCACGGAATATGACCACTGAAGTTGACGAATGTTCGACACGGTAGACCACCGTTCGAATATGTTTTGAACTACATAAGGTAAGTGCTGCTATGGTTAGATGTTAATATCCCTAAGCTTCGTTCAGCTTAGTTCTGAACGGCGTGTTCAAAGCTTCTGACTAGTTTAGCACTTTGCTGGCGTACCTTCGGCATATACTGCCCTTACCAGACCCTAAATTACAATTCTTGAAGGCATAGGGCACGATCATTGGATAGCCGGTCAAAAATGGTGGCAGGAGTACCATACAGTGGGGAAATAGCGAAAAAGCAAAGTGAAACAGTCGAAACCTGCAAAAAAGCCTTTGTTCTACACGACCAAGAAAGCAATTTCGGACGAGTTTCCCGTTGGCATCGTGCCAATAACCGCTACGGTAGATACGGCTGCATGTATGCACTCACATATCCATGCAGTGCCGCAGCCGCTTCATACTGTACTTCGCAAATGAAGCGATAGTCGCATTAACAGCAGTTGGACATTTGTGGGCTCCGGGTTGGTATGCTGCAGCATG